GCAGGAAGTCTCCATTTGTAAACGCAAAAGTAGTCTTGAATAATAATGATCAGTATATATATATCGATTGTTCGTCGACGACTTCGTTAATATTAAGAAAGAAAACATCAAAAACAGATGAAGTTTGGTGAGGCCAGATCGTAGTGGAGCGCGAAATTTATCCGGCGCGACGGAGGGCTCTCCGCCGCGCACTATAAAATCGCATTCGCCAGAATGTCATTAATGCGATTATATACCACCGTGATGGGAATTCGTTAAATTTGTTAATGCCCTATTACGGGGAACGCCCGTACGTTTTATGGCGAATGGTGCAACGACCCGACGCCAATGTCCGACATTTCTCTCTTGGATACAACGCCGGCTGGTTCAATGCTCGCGGCGAAAAGGATCCTCTTCCCGAGACGTCTTGCCTCTCGTCTTCGCTAACAGTTTTTGCGTTTTGTTCCCCGAGTAGCAACGCCCATCGCCAAGAACGAAATCCATTTCGTGAACTGGAAATCCCGAGGATCTCGACAGACGTTCTCGATTCTTTCTACGACATTTGCGTATCACGTTATAATTCTTACGACAGCTTCGCAGTCCTCGCGCGTACCGCATCGTCTATGCATGTACTTTATGCTAATATCCGTAATGGAGAAAGTTTCTGATATCGTGAAAAAGCGTCTGACCCGGAGCACTCAGGCATGAATTTTACGGTGGCGCTAAATTAACGATGATAATGTATAGTCGTACGCTTTAACTTGAAATTTTTATAGTTTGGCGCCATGCGCTTCGATGCGATAATGCGATAATTTAATCTCGTTTAATATCGGCAATTTAATTTAATCCATGTTAACATAATAAATTCATTGGATTTAACGTAATAGCTTAACCGAAAAGTCGAATATACGTACGTTTGCATGTAAAATTTATATCGTCGGTTTGCACACGTAAACGCACATGTTTACTCAAATGTGTCAATGAAAGCGTTCGTTTTCGAACGAAATATTTGTCTATTGTTAACTTAGCTTATATTCATATTTTGCAGTTACAAGCTCGTGCCGTTGATGCGGCCGCGCGAAAGTGGTCCTTGAAAGGAGTAAAACGGTTCTCTGTGCGGACCACGTTGGCTGATAGCTATCGAGTGCAGCAACCCGTTTTGGCATACAAGTCGCAAGGATGGATCTATACCATAGGATGCCGTTTATCGGGGCAATGAACGTGCGAGGCGGCTAACCAGCTAGCCAGCGGGAAGACAGCGCATAGCGGGAGGACACGCGAATTGAGGAGAACTGCGAGAAGCAAGGAGGATATCTCGAAGTGCATGCATGCTGTCGATGACATCAGGTACCATGTACCAGATGCAACGGGGGAGATTCTGCGTGTTATGCGTGCCGACGACATGTACGTGTGCATGTACGCATATATAAGGGAGGCAAGGGCGGTGCGGAAGGCGCAGCGTTGGAAGGGCAACTCACCCACGATGTGAAACCACAGGAGGATTTTCAATTCCATGGATACTTCTGTCGCTCGTCGCCGTCGACGTGTCTCACTAGGGCTGTCTGCGATCCTCGCTCGTTGTCCGTCGTCGTCGCGTCGGACGCGTCTCTTCGCATGTCGTTGGAGAGGCTCCTCTCCGCTCGTTTTCTTTTTCTTTCTCTCTCTCTCTCCTTCTCTCTCTCTCTCTCTGTTGCCTCGTCAACAGCAGCAGTAGCATCAACAGCAACAGCCAGCACGACGTCTGTGTAAAAGGATACACACGGAAAGCGACGACGGTAGAAGCATAATCCTCCGCGTGTGCGATACGTGGGCTGAGTAGCGTTGTGTGTACGAACGTGGATTTCTGCGTGACTCGATTACGGGAATGATTCCCCGACGGAAGAGTATGCGTGGCTCGCCGAGCCCGGCTTCTCTCTGGTGGTGCACGGCTGGCTCCGTCGCTGCTGGAACCCCCGTTTGCGTTTCGCGCAGAATCAATTTCCTCGCGAAAACGACGACGGCGCCGGCGACGCGCGCGGCGAGTGCGCGAGCGTGACCGCGCGAAACCGCGCCTGCGTCTCCGCGTCGTTAAACGTGTCTTAGCGACGTGTGTACGTACAAGAGCGGCCGTACTCACACTTACACGGACGGAGAGACACGCACCCCCAACGTCGTCGTGCTGCGGGGGTGAATGTGCGTACGTACGAGTAAAATCTGGTCCACCGATAGATTCCGAACAACTCCGAGTCGGTCCCGATAGGCCAGTCTCTCCCCTTTCTTCCTCCGGCGCGGCGCCCCCATGACACCCC